GTGTGTGTTTGTGTGTGTGTGTGTGTGTGTGTGTGTGTGTGTGTGTGTGTGTGTGTGAGAGAGAAAGAGAGAGAGAGAGAGATTTTTAACAAAAGGCAAACGAAAACGTTAGCTTGATTAAAAGCTAAATTGTAGATGGAGCTTTCTGTTGTGCAATTATTTTGGATCTTCCTCTGAAAGTTGATGTTTGTTTTCAGCACAATGGTAGCCTAGTGGTGAGCACCCATGCCTCACAGTTGAGAGCTCACACGTTTGAATCTCGTTTCCTTATTTTAGGATCGTCCATTAGTTGCTATTCTCTGCATCTTCTCATTTGTCCTGAAGCACCAACATTTGTTTGTTTGTTTGTTTGTTTATTGTTTATGAAAATAGTCCATGCTAACAACTGTAAAGGTTAAAGATGTCGATATCATAAATTCTTGTGTGTGGCCAAGGCACACATGATAATGGTGGGAAACGGAATGCCTACAACTTATCTAGTCCTACCCCTTTTTGAGCAATAATGTATATTGATCATTTCCAATACCAAAGAAAAGGAAGAAATCTAAATTTCATCAAATACTTTTACCCTTTTGTGTACTATGCTTATCTATTGATACACCTTTTGGTTTGTATATATGTATCATTATTCTTTCTACTTTTTATATCAAATGACTCATTCATTATATATACCACATTTCTTGAATACATTCAATAAGTTGTTCACATGAGTGTGAATGGCTGCTTGTCGATAAGTGCCCTGACGGTCAGGCTTCAATGTCCCCCACTTCTTGCCCAGCGATGCTAGAATTTTATTGTCCGTTAAAAAATGCACCAGAGGTTTGATTGTCCCGTTCGTACTTGTTAATTTTACATTCAAGGCGTGACATACTTACCAAATGGATCTCTGGCTGGGACGGATAAACAAATTCATTGTCAATGTCAAAAGATGATTTCAGCTTATTTTGAGTAAAGGGCTTGGTTGTAGAACTCATTAAAAATTGATCTCATTTACATCTCAGAGTACATTTTCCATATATCTTCTTTCACTTTGGCTTCAACCTGCCCTGGTCCAAAAAGTTTACTCGTCATTCTCATTTTCATTCTGTAACGTTGGACATTTTAGAGCTCCAGAGAGGGAAAGCGAGCAGTGGAACGTCAGCGAGCAAACTACGACCACCATAACCATCTCATATTGTCGTTTACCGTTCCTGCCATTGAGTAGACATCGTGTCACGTCTCACAACGGTGCCGGTGTGATCTTTAAGAACAAAGGCGTCTTGACACGCACGCTTCTGCTAAAAAAGAAAGCAAGAAGAAAAGAAAAAAACTAGTCAGCAGTTTATTTTTAGTGGAAGTTTTTTTTTTTCTGATTGGAGAAAGGATGCTTGCCATCTGCCACTTGAGAAATCTCTTTTTTTGTTTTTGCATTATTTGATGTTGAATCATCTTAGCGGTGGGAGGCTACTTTTATTTACAATTGGCCACCGGGGGACTTTTGGCTTGTTTCATCTCGTACGTCTCCTATAAATAGTTCTAGTTCCCTGAAGGACTTTTTGATTTGCTTTCAAGTGCGAACAGCACGGCTTCAGTCAGGAGGACCACTCCCCACTGCGAAAAGGCCACCTGGTCAAAGAACAGACGTCGTAGCCTTGAACTAGCTCCGTCGTTTGGCTAAAGAGAGCATTACGGACACTTTTTGAGTCGGCGCCGTTCACGTAGGGACGGCTTCATTTTGGGACTAAGAAGCATCAAGGTTGCCTTAACACCCCAATTATATGTATATATGTATATATAGATAGATATATGTATGTATATATGTGTGTGTGTGTGTGTGTGTGTGTGTGTGTGTGTGTGTATATATATATACATATACACTGTGTGTGTAAGTGTGTGTGTGTGTGTGTGTGTGTGTGTGTGTGTGTGTGTGTGTGTGTGAGAGAGAAAGAGAGAGAGAGAGAGATTTTTAACAAAAGGCAAACGAAAACGTTAGCTTGATTAAAAGCTAAATTGTAGATGGAGCTTTCTGTTGTGCAATTATTTTGGATCTTCCTCTGAAAGTTGATGTTTGTTTTCAGCACAATGGTAGCCTAGTGGTGAGCACCCATGCCTCACAGTTGAGAGCTCACACGTTTGAATCTCGTTTCCTTATTTTAGGATCGTCCATTAGTTGCTATTCTCTGCATCTTCTCATTTGTCCTGAAGCACCAACATTTGTTTGTTTGTTTGTTTGTTTATTGTTTATTGAACATATATAAAACATACAATAACATGACAAAATGCAAACAAAAATTATGAAAGTAAAATAAAAGTAAAAGTAAGTAATACAAACATCATCACAGTTATATGTTCAAAGGAGTAGGAAGAAGTATACAACTTATCTAGTCCTACCCCTTTTTGAGCAATAATGTATATTGATCATTTCCAATACCAAAGAAAAGGAAGAAATCTAAATTTCATCAAATACTTTTACCCTTTTGTGTACTATGCTTATCTATTGATACACCTTTTGGTTTGTATATATGTATCATTATTCTTTCTACTTTTTATATCAAATGACTCATTCATTATATATACCACATTTCTTGAATACATTCAATAAGTTGTTCACATGAGTGTGAATGGCTGCTTGTCGATAAGTGCCCTGACGGTCAGGCTTCAATGTCCCCCACTTCTTGCCCAGCGATGCTAGAATTTTATTGTCCGTTAAAAAATGCACCAGAGGTTTGATTGTCCCGTTCGTACTTGTTAATTTTACATTCAAGGCGTGACATACTTACCAAATGGATC